CAAGCTTTTTTTTTATAACCCAGGAAGCCACTATCAAGTTTTAATCATTAGACCCCCCACCCTTTTTTCCAAACAGTTAACTCGAGTGGTCGTGAGATGGAAGTAACATCAGGACCAATGAAAGTAACACCAGGAATAATGAAAGTAACACCAGGACCAATGAAAGTAACACCAGGACCAATGAAAGTAACACCAAGACCAATGAAAGTAACACCAGGACCAATGAAAGTAACACTAGGACCAATGGAAGTAGTAACATGACCAATGAAAGTAATACCATGACCAATGAAAGTAACACCAAGACCAATGAAAGTAACACCAGGACCAATGAAAGTAACACCAGGACCAATAAAAGTAACACAAGGACCAATGAAAGTAACACCAGGACTAATGAAAGTAACACCAGGAATAATGAAAGTAACACCAGGAATAATGAAAGTAACACCAAGACCAATGGAAGTAGCACAAGGAAAAATGGAAGTAGTACCAAGACCAATGAAAGTAACACAAAGACCAATGAAAGTAACACCAGAACAAATGAAAGTAACACAAGGAACAATGAAAGTAAAACCAGGACCAATGAAAGTAACACCAGGACCAATGAAAGTAACACCAGGACCAATGAAAGTAACACCAGGACCTTTAAAAGTAGCACCAGGATCAATAAAAGTAACACAACGACCAATGAAAATAACACCAGGACCAATGAAAGTAACACTAGGACCAATGGAAGTAACACCAGGACCAATGAAAGTAACACCAAGACCAATGAAAGTAACACCAGGACCAATGAAAGTAACACAAGGACCAATGAAAGTAACACCAGGACTAATGAAAGTAACACCAGGAATAATGAAAGTAACACCAAGACCAATGGAAGTAGCACAAGGAAAAATGGAAGTAGTACCAAGACCAATGAAAGTAACACAAAGACCAATGAAAGTAACACCAGAACCAATGAAAGTAACACAAGGAACAATGAAAGTAAAACCAGGACCAATGAAAGTAACACCAGGACCAATGAAAGTAACACCAGGACCAATGAAAGTAACACCACGACCTCTAAAATAACACCAGGACCAATGAAAGTAACACAAGGACCAATGAAAATAACACCAGGACCAATGAAAGTAACACTAGGACCAATGGAAGTAACACCAGGACCAATGAAAGTAACACCAAGACCAATGAAAGTAACACCAGGACCAATGAAAGTAACACCAAGACCAATGAAAGTAACACCAGGAACAATGAAGGTTACACCAGGGCCAATGAAAGTAACACCAGGAACAATGAAAGTAACACCAGAACCAATGAAAGTAAACCAGAACCAATGAAAGTAATACCAGGAACATTGAAAATAACACCAGGAACAATGAAGGTAACACCAGGGCCAATGAAAGTAAAACCACGACCAATGAAGGTAACACCAGGGCCAATAAAAGTAAAACCAGGACCTCTAAAATTAACACCAGGAACAATGAAAATAACACCACGACCTCTAAAATAACACCAGGACCAATGAAAGTAACACCAGGATCAATAAAAGTAACACCAGGACCAATGAAAGTAACACCAGGACCAATGAAAGTAACACCAGGACCAATGGAAGTAAACCAGAACCAATGAAAGTAACATAGGAACAATGAAAATAACTCCAGGAACAATGAAGGTAACACCAGGGCCAATAAAAGTGAAACCAGGACCTCTAAAATTAACACTAGGACCAATGAAAGTAACACCACGACCTCTAAAATAACACCAGGACCAATGAAAGTAACACCAGGAACAATGAAAGTAACACCAGAACCAATGAAAGTAAACCAGAACCAATGAAAGTAATACCAGGAACAATGAAAATAACACCAGGAACAATGAAGGTAACACCAGGGCCAATGAAAGTAAAACCACGACCAATGAAGGTAACACCAGGGCCAATAAAAGTAAAACCAGGACCTCTAAAATTAACACCAGGAACAATGAAAATAACACCACGACCTCTAAAATAACACCAGGACCAATGAAAGTAACACCAGGATCAATAAAAGTAACACCAGGACCAATGAAAGTAACACCAGGACCAATGAAAGTAACACCAGGACCAATGGAAGTAAACCAGAACCAATGAAAGTAACATAGGACCAATGAAAGTAACACCACGACCTCTAAAATAACACCAGGACCAATGAAAGTAACACCAGGATCAATAAAAGTAACACCAGGACCAATGAAAGTAACACCAGGACCAATGAAAGTAACACAAGGAACATAGGAAGTAGTACTATGACCAATGAAAGTAACACCAGGACCAATGAAAGTAACACCAAGACCAATGAAAGTAACACCAAGACCAATGAAAGTAACACCAGGACCAATGAAAGTAACACCAGGACCAATGAAAGTAACACCAAGACCAATGAAAGTAACACCAGGACCAATGAAAGTAACGCTAGGACCAATTGAAGTAGTACCATGACCAATGAAAGTAACACCAGGACCAATGAAAGTAACACAAGGACCAATGAAAGTAACTCCAAGACCAATGAAAGTAACACAAGGACCAATGAAAGTAACACCAGGACCAATGAAAGTAACACAAGGAACATAGGAAGTAGTACCATGACCAATGAAAGTAACACCAGGACCAATGAAAGTAACACAAGGACCAATGAAAGTAACTCCAAGACCAATGAAAGTAACACAAGGACCAATGAAAGTAACACCAGGACCAATGAAAGTAACACAAGGAACATAGGAAGTAGTACCATGACCAATGAAAGTAATACCAGGACCAACACAACAATTAACCTGGACATTTGTTAATCAAACAATATTGAACTCTCAATATTTGTTGTGTTTTTGTTTTGCTTAAAGCTACGATGTTACACACGTGTGGTGAATGTCACAATTACGACAACTGTCACAATGGCGTAAGTCAGTGTTTTTACATATACCCCCTCCCCCCCTCATATTTTGACAGAAATGTGACCCCTATGACAGTCCAAACACGTCTTGACAAATCATTGCATAAAATCTGTCTTTGGTCATAATCAATGTCATGCAATTAGTTGAAAAAAAACTACGAAAGAGGAGTGGAAGGGGGGGGGGGGAAGGGACACGAATGCGAAAAAAAACATCATTAAAAAAAAAAAACGGGATATATGGGAGTTAGAGCAGACAAGACGTAAGGAAAAACCCCAATAAAAAAAAAAATAAAAAAAAACAAAAAAAAAACGAAGAAAGAGGGGGGGAAGGGGGGGGGGGGAAGGGACACGAATGCGTAACAAAACATCATTAAAAAAAAACAACTGGATATATGGGAGTTAGAGCAGACAAGTCGTAAGGAAAAACCCCAATAAAAAAATAAATTAAAAAAAACAACGAACAAACTGTGCGTTTCCACCAGAATTTTCAGAAAAAAAAAAAAACAAGAGTCTCGGAAACAAATAAGCTGAGAGCGAGTCGTCAGACATATGGGATACATTTGAGAGGATTTAAACTTTGACCCAGAGGCGTAGCTAGGGGGGGCAGGGGGACAGACGTCCCCTGGGTGCCATACGAGTTACGGGGGGGGGGGCAAAAATGTGCTTTGATATTATTTTATTGATGAGAGTTGAAAGAAAAAGAAAGGGAGACGCTTTAAATTGAATCTTGTCCCCGGGTGCCAAACACTCTAGCTACGCCTCTGATTTGACCCCATGTGGGCAATTCGGGGGAAAAAAACCCCCAAAAACTTTAAACAAAAACCAGAAGAAATAATAAAATTATATTTCAGTGAGGCCATTGTTAAAGAGAATTGAGTTGAGAGAACCATACGTCTCTTTCATTCTAGAATAGTGTTTCGTGGCAAGAACGGTGGTAAGTGTCTGGGTGATACTTTGGGGGGGGGGGGGCATATTGGGTATCTTGGGAAGGGCGGGAAGGGCGGTGCTATGAGGCTTGGTGATAACTGCGACAGCATTGTGTTTTCTTGACAAGGGCGGTGCTTTGTAGCTTGGTGCTAATTGTGACATCACTTATTGCCACGTGACGGTCACAGATACCGTACCCCTGTCTCGACGCGTCTCGCTAACGTCTCACAGAGTGAACGGTGAGCACCGCGTTAACAAGGGTTCCTGAAAGTTGACAAGTGTAACCTTGCAGGTTTTTAGGGAGGTTCTCAAACGTATGGACTACTGCACCGTACCAAAAAATAACCAGATGAAAGGGTCACATATTTTGTAAGTTGACCAACATACTTGTCGGGGGGGGGGCGTTGGGTGGGTAGGGGGGCTACTCCCTCTGTCACTACATGAAACAATGCAAGGCAAGTCTGTGATGGGTACTGCGTTTACACTGCTTCGGGGTCTTTGGATGAGAGCGTTAGTTCGGGACTAGTTCAGTGGCTTAAAAAAAAATAAATAATAAAGTAAAAATCATTTTTAAGAGGTTTTGTTTAGGGGGGCAGGAGAGTGAGTATGAGTGACGGCTGTATGATAATTCATTATTTTTACGATAATGACTTATCATATTTTTAGGTCAACGCTAAACACTCCTTGTGTAATTCTTTTATTTGGCAACATTCCACTCCTTAAGCCTTAGGGGTTTTCGCTTTAAGCCATCGTGTGTCATGGGGATCAAAATCATCCAGTCTCGGGGGTCACGGTGGGTGGGGGGAGTTAGGGGGTATAATATAATTTTATAATGTGATCATTAATTTGAAGGCTGAAAACAAGACCGTCACCAACGAAATCTTTATCCCGTTAAACAAACTGCCAGTCGGGTCGCTGACAAGTAAATCTGGACTTTTCGGTGTCACCGCCACGGCGTTCCGCCAATCAAACGCCTCGTTACGGCTGGTGTCACCCCGTTCCGCCAATCACTCGCCTCGTTACGGCTCGCTGGCACGCGGTGTCAAACTTTAGGCGACCAATCAGAGCTGGCGGGCACCACATGTCGTGAGAACCTGAGTTGACGATGAGGTGGTGGGGTGGGTGGGGGGGGAGAGAGAGAGGTAACAGGAGACGAGACTTAAGTTGGCGGGCTGGAGACGATTTAGTCAGTAGACTTCGGTGACTACAGCTGGAGACATCTCCGTACCGAACCAGCTGAGGTTGTGAGATTCCGTGCGGACTTTTCATATTTCATTCAGTTCTGCAGTTGTTGATATCTGCAAGAATTTACAGTGCTTTTCAAACAATCACTTTTTATTGCTGTTGCTACTACTTCGATAAAGAAAATAAAGTAACAACTTGAAATAGCTGTGCCATTCACTGATTTTGATTGGTACATGAAACGTTGAAGGGGATTTGGTGCGGAACTAAAACTAAGGGAGACAACTGCAGAATCTTTTATCGGGAAAAAAACCCAGCAACAACGCAAGACATTTTAACAAGGTGAGAACTTTATGTTTATGAAATGCTGGCATAAATATTAAATTAAAACATGCATTTTAAAAATTAAAACACTTATCCACTTATTCAATGCATTACCTTAAACGTGTATACAGTTAGTGTTAGGCGGGTTAGGGTTAAGGTTAGTGTTAGGCGCCTACATTATGTTAGAAAAACACGTTGACATTTGCCTAATGTTTGCTTCAAATCAATTTTAAACACGTAACTAACATTATTAGTTCTTGGGGCGGGGGCAGAGAAAGAGATAAAATTAACTTTTGAAATTAAGTGTAACTTGCCTCCCCACGAATTGTTGAACTGAAATACATCCACTGAAATTGCCACCTAGCGCTACCAGTGCTGGCACTCCAAGTTGAGAACCCGTCGATTAAGGAATTATCTCTCTATCTTTATTTAAAAAAAAAAACATTTTTTTTAACTGGTTGATTATGTTAGACTAGATGGAGCCCGCCAAACATTGGCGACAGCAATGCATGAACTTCCCATATAATTTTAGTATATGCCATATACTTATACTAAAGTTACTTGACAAAAACGGGAACTCAAGTTAGGCACATTTAAGAGAGCCAATTTTGCTACACACCTTCCCCCCCCCCCCCCCCCCCCCCATTTCCTGATACGTCACTGCACACTTTTTATTTCACGCCCATGAACTATATTAATATTCTCATGTCCCAACCACTTTTAAACCGAATATTTTTTACGCAATACTTAATTTGAGGCGATTTCATTTCCGAAAAGAAAATAACGCCAAACGCATTTGCGTTATTAAAAACAGATATATATCATTTAGCGTAGTTATCGGGAATTATATTTTGCGCGCTAGTGAACTCATTATTTAACCACACTCTGGCGTATCTATATATAGTCTGCGCGATGGTGTTCGACCTTTGCTGGCGAATTATATATATAGATAGATTACGTACTTTATGATATCCAATGTTATCTGATCTATGATTGTCAGAGATGTATATACCTAGTGCCACTGCTGTCATAGGTGTATCTATATAGGGTCACTTATGTATGATTGTCAAGGGTGTATCTATATAATGTAACTAATGCATGATTGTCATAGGTATATCCATATACGGTCACTGATGTATGATTGTGAGATGTATATCCATATAAGGTCGCGGATGCATGATAGTCAGAGGTATATCATAAGATCACTCATGTATGATTGAGTATATCTGGTGACATAGGGCCTCCAGGAATGGCATACCTTATAAACTGTCACATAGCTGAGAATTAAGATTGTAAGTGAATATTTAGCGTGTATTTATCTTTAAATTTAGCACATCTCTGAAGGCTCTTGATTATTTATTAATTTCTGGTGGAATTTCCAACTGTCAGCGACCTTTAATAGCCACCCCCCCCCCACACACACACACACAAACACAGCCAAAAAAAAAAATCCTTTTCACACATGCCAATAAATTTAAAAAAACAAACCAAAAAACAATTTCTAAAATCTCAAGCTGGAGATAACCATGCCTCCGGTCACTCCGGGCCAGGTGGACAGTGACAGCTGAGGTCAGGGCTCCTTTTTTTTAGTCCGATGGGGAGTGATGATGACGGTGGCTAGGGGGCGAGCTAAGCGAGGTCCAGTATTGTTGGTCTGCTGGAATGAACGCTGAGTGTAGGGGAGTCTATGGCGGCATGTGGACAATGCGAGGAGCAGACAATGCTTATCTATTGGACCGGGCTAGGGGTCAGCGAGGGAGGATCGGACTATGATTATCTATTGGACCGGCCAGAGGTCAGCGAGGGCCAGGTGTGAGGGGGGGGCAGGCTCAGGTCATGCTCCGAAGACGACCTGAAGAACGCCTTTGCTTTGACTAGACCCGTAAAGGTATTTTCCCGAGAGCTCTCCAATAATTATGCTCAAGGCATGACCTTCAAAGTGACCCCCTAAGCCATTGATCATTGATGTACTAGACTACCGTGGTGATCTATCCTGTTCGACCTTGATACAACTCTGGCTTTTCAGTAATGTCAACAAGTAATGTCAACAAAAGAATTTTCCGAACGATCGTTTCCCGTTACCATCGATGTGAAAATTGAGTCATGGGGTTAAACCAGTGGCTCTCAACCATGCTAATGCCACGACCCTTTAATACAGTTACCCATGCTGTGGTGACCCCCAATGCCCATAAAACTATTTTCGTTGCTACTTCATAAATACGTCTTAGGCGACCCCAATGTAAGGGCCTTTCCACCCCCCAAAAGGGTTCACGACCCACAGGTCAAGAACCACTGGGTTAAACAGTTGAGAAAATGATAACCTCTGTAATGGTTAGGCGCCTCTGTCCATTCCTTTAGATTTTTAAACGTTACCTGTTTAAATGGAAGCAATAAGGATAAGTTCGCATTTGTAAATTTATGTTGTGTGATCTTTCATAGAATGTACAACACTTTTTGCCCTGGGCCAAAAATAGTTTCATCAGTGTGGATAACGGGAACTGTATGTGTGTATGTGTGTGTGGGGGGGGGGATGGATGGGTGGTATGGGTTTGGAAAAAAAATGGGGGGGGGGGGGGGTCATTTATAAATAAAATAATAACCAACTAACGGTCAAAATCAATGCAACCATGAAACAATCATGAAACTATAATGAAACTGTAGACTGGCTTACAGAGTGGGGGGGGGGGATGGATGGGTGGTATGGGTTTGGAAAAAAAATGGGGGGGGGGAGGGGTCATTTATAAATAAAATAATAACCAACTAACGGTTCAAATCAATGCAACCATGAAACAATCATGAAACTATAATGAAACTGTAGACTGGCTTACAGTGCAACTGACCTTTGTGAACTGTTTTTTTTCTCACGCTGTCCACTCTCTCATCATAATGTTGGTACCTAGGGTATCTGAGCTTACTAATTCTCCCACCCCCCCACCACCTTTTTGTCACGTTGACCGAGACCACCCCCCTCCCCACCAACAGCATGGGGCTGTCCTCAAGTCGACTGTATTTGGCTCAGTACAAAAGCCTCCAAGTTACCCTTCCCTCCCAGTCCCAAAATTACCCTCAAAGCGTCTCAATTAGCCATCCGCACCCCCCCCCCCTGCAAGGGGCTGGTCCCCCAAGTCTACATTATTTTTCTAAGGACAAAAGCCCCACGCCGGGGACATGCGTTTGAAAAAGGGGGATGTAACCCAGCGTGCACTGATTTGAAGTTAACCGCCCCTGGTCGGGTCAAAGATGGAAATCGCCAGCAGATAATAAAACGGAGGAAAACCTTGCCATGCTCTCCCTTTGAAGCCGTTTTCTAAAAATCACATATCCCCCTTCCACCTTTACCCCCCCACCCGGGGGGTGGGGGTGGGGGTGTACATTTTCAGAAAAATTCCCCGTTAATCCTATCTCCCTTTCCATTCAGTGACCTTCCATTTTATTTCTTGTCGCTGTATCTATCAAAGGCGAGCACAGGTCCTCCTCTCCTCGTGGTTATTTCCCTTTGATTATTCATAACGCTAACAGAACGAGGCCAAAAGGTGACATCTTTGCACTCTTATATCAGGAACTTTCTTGACTATCGCCAAACATACTTTTTTTTTTTTTTTTTTTTAACTTGGACAAATATTGACATTTCTTTCTTTTCCGTTATCAAACTTTTTTTTTTCTTCTTTTTTTTCTATTCAAACACGTAGGCGGATTCCGTCCACGTTTTCTTAAATTTTTTCGTATACTTTTTCGTACACTTTACTTTTTCCTTTGCATTTAAATCTTATAATTTTTTCTTCTCCTTAACATGTAAGTTTAATATAGTTTTAATCTCTCTTCACACATGACGGGTGAGGATAGCCTTGTAAACACACAGCCTCGCCTGTGGGATATCATGAGAATGTTGCTATAGTTTTCAGATGGATACATTAAGAAGCATAGGTTTACTTCTCACATTTCTTCACGTGAACATAGGCACCACCTCCCAACAAACTCATCGACATTTTCGTATAACCATAACCTGAGGGGCAAGGGGTGGGAAGGGGGTGGTCGTACCGAGAGGCCCTATTGGTTGTTAAAAAAAAAAAAATTCTATTATGTTAATGATTAGCGTGTGGGCGTGGCAAAGATGGTGTAATAAAATGCTGAAAGTAAAGGGGCAAGGATTGGCTAAATAACTAACTGTCAAAATGATTGGCTAAATAACTAACTGTCAAAATAATTGGCTAAATAACTAACTGTCAAAATGATTGGCTAAAATAACTAGCTGTGAATATGATTGGCTAAATAACGAGCTGTCAAAATGATTGGCTAAATAACGAGCTGTCAAAATGATTGGCTAAATAACGAGCTGTCAAAATGATTGGCTAAATAACTAACTGTCAAAATGATTGGCTTAAATAACTAGCTGTGAATATGATTGGCTAAATAACGAGCTGTCAAAATGATTGGCTAAATAACGAGCTGTCAAAATGATTGGCTAAATAACGAGCTGTCAAAATGATTGGCTAAATAACGAGCTGTCAAAATGATTGGCTAAATAACGAGCTGTTCAATGATTGGCTAATTAATAGGCTGGCAGCTTTGTTGACATAGTCTATCATGTGTATATCGTGTCAAACTGAACATTTAAAATGGTTTTACCTGTTAACAACAGTTGTACTACTTTCTGTTTTTTTCTCTCCATATCTTTAATTACGCGGTGCGCTGCGGAAATTTGGTGCGCAGTAAGTGTTAAAAAACGCCGCGAAGCACTGTCCTGAACCACCGGGAGAAATTGAAAGGAGATAACCTTTTCTGTTGACACTGCCGAATTTTTTTTTTATGAGTGACTGGTTTCGGTGGTTGGGGGGGGGGGGGGGGGGGGGGGCTTAATAATTCCAATGTAGCCAAGTTATCTCAACTTATTCTTTTGTGGGTGGTAATTGTGGGTTTAAAAAAAAAAAAAAGATGGCCTGGTCCCACGTTCTAAAGCTCAATCTCTACGACCTTGCCCTTTTACATGGGAGGCTACGACATTCGCTCTAGTTCCCGTGGGCGTGATGTGACCCAGCGAGTGGCCCGGATGTAACCACTTTGTTTTAAGTGGAGAAGTGAGTTGAGAGGGAAAAGTGGGGGGAGGGGGGCTGGGAAGAAGGAGGGGGTGTCGCAGGACTGTGCCCATTGACGTATAGCTCGTCGCGTAATCATCGTAATAATATTTAACCAAAGCATGTGATGAATGAACTAGAACACTTATGGTGGTGTAGAAGGCTTCGCCAGGGATCCCCTGTCTGTTGGCCAAGGGGCAAAATTTTATGGTGAATGTTTTGAGTAAAAATATTAGGTGGTGGTTACTCTGGTCAAAACATTGACTGTGTTATTAAGGGGAATAGGTCCAGCTCGTTGAGCACTTCAAACAAGGCAGCTGGGAACAAACAATGAGTACACAAACAAACATTGGGTACAAACAAACATTGAGTACAAACAAATTTGGGTAACAGATAACTTTGGGTACAAGAAAATATTGGGTATCAGAAAACACTGGGTACAAACAACATTGTGCACCAACGAGCATTGTGCATCAATAAACATTGGGTACAAAGAAACATGATGCACCAACCAACATTGATTACAAGCAAACAGTGTGCACCAACAAACAGTGTGCACCAACAAACAGTGTGCACCATCAAACAGTGTGCACCAACAAACAGTGTGCACCAACAAACAGTGTGCACCAACAAACAGTGTGCACCAACAAACAGTGTGCACCAACAAACAGTGTGCACCAAAAAAAAACTATGGTTACAATCAAACATTAGTCAAAACAATGCAATGACGAGACCATATCGAATGTCGCAGACGTCTCACAGTTACATATTCCTGCATTTTCATCGAACACGACAGAGGCTATTTTTTCAAAGTCACTTTATCCAACCGCTAACTTACCCCCCCCACCCCCCCNTGTTAAACAATCCCCCCCCCCCCCCCCCCATAGAGAATCCAATCCAATCAATCACACCCCCACCCGACCCCACCACTCGCTTCTCACGTATTTACATACTGTCTATTTACCTATTTGTAGACGTTTCTAGACTAAAAATCTATTTATCAACAATGGCGGCCTCTGTGACAACTGACAGCAATACCAATGTGTAAGGTCGATACATCATTCAAGCCCGATGGAAATGAGGCTACGGAGACACAATATCATCGAACAACGACAAATTGTGTTTGTTTTCTAGCGACCGTTTGTACAGATAGATGACTGTTTGTTTTCTAGCGACCGTTTGTACAGATAGTTGACTGAAGGCGTTATTAATGGCCTAATGAAGGATACCGGGAAGTATGGAGGTCGGGGGGGGGCAGAGGTCAGCGTTGACACAGCGTGGGTAATGTCCACCTAGTCCGACCTTGTCAGATGTGGGAGTCTAATCTCTAACGAACACTTGTTATCAGTTTGTAGAAGCCCCGAATGTTTTGATAATGCTGGGATGTAAATGGGATAGCAATGTTTCATTTGAGACACGTTGTCCCCCGGAGTTCTCAAACCCGTGTCCCGCGCGGCCTCAAACGGTTATCAAAATGTTTGTCATGGCCCTTAGGTGAACATATTAGGTTTTCTTTCTTTCTTTTTAAAAAAAAAAAAAAAATTTGAAACCCAATCCTTCGACTGGTTTAACTTTAATGCGGTGGTCTCTGTAAGGACCGTGGGAAGAGGTGGGGGGGGGCGGCAAAGGGGGCACCTTCCCTGGGCACCAATTTTCAGAGGGCGCCAATCACCATTTTTTTTCCATGCAGAAATATGTGTGTTAACATAACGATTTGTGCAGTTGGCGATCCAGGCTCTGTACAGCTTTTACTTAGCACGATTGTGTTTGGTCTTAGTGTCATAGCCTCCGTTGCTTGGGAACTCATGCTCATTGCACGACTTTAAGTGCAAACATACACATTCTGGTTCTCGAAGGCAGATGATATGCTTACAAGAAAAAAACCCAACTAAACTGGGAAATGGTTTTAGTTACGAGGAAAAAAAAAAAGGAAATCAATTTTGCTCAGGTCGTTGCAGTAAGTGTTTAGACATTTTAGACATTGTAATCGTGAGAAAGCTCAACCCCCATTGTTATTTCTCTGGAATCAAGTGCGCGTGTGTGGAGGGGAGGGGAGCTTAGTGGCAGGTCAACCACAATAATGGGCGGAATGGTGTGGTGGGGGTGGGGGGGGCTTTCCACCATGACAGATGTCGTTAGTGTTTGGTCTTAGTGTCACGGTCTTAGTGTCATGGTCTTAGTTGCTTGGGAACTCATGCTCACTCCATGACTTCAAGTACAGACATACACTCTGGTACTCGGCAAGCCGTATGCCGTCTTGTATAAGAGTTGGTTTGATTACAATGCGCGTATTCTTTTTTCAACAAACACACTCCACAAAGTATTCGTACCCTTGAAGTCACCTACAATACATATTTATTGATACATTTCTGTATGTCAATGAACATACTCCTCCTGTAACAAAGAAATCGTGTAGGGTCTAATCATGGCAACTGTTTCAGTGACGAGTTGTGATCGTTGAGTCCCTCCCTCGGGAGGTATCGGAAACCAATTATGTTGATACACAGAACGGCTTATGCGTATGTCGTACACACCAAGCCATATGATTGATAAGTATCTCAGCTCTGAAACTCTAAGCTCCGAGACTCTAAGCTCTGAAACTCTAAGTTCTGGATACTCTAAGCTCTGAAACTCTAAGCTCTGAAACGCCTGGAGCCCTAACCCCATTGAAATAATCCGTTGGCTTAATGAAATCTGTGACTTGACAATGCCGACACACGGCTCCTCGAAACAACACAATAGTGGTGTTAAATGTTGTTGTTGTTGTCGCGAGTGTCCATGTCATTGGTTGGTGTGGTCAGTAGTCATAATCCACGTTTTTATCTTCTCCTTTCTCTCCGTGTTGGCAGATGGTGACCACAGCGTACCGTCAGTGCGGCGTGTCGGCCGCCCAGGTGGTTGCCAGGAGACAGGTGAGGATGCACCTGAGAAAGATACGCGAGAGGGAATACTCCAAGCTGAGGGCGCTGGTGCCATCTGTGGCTTCCAAGAAAAAGGTAACAAAGGTGAGTAGCGCCGTGAATCAAACCTACCTGTATTTGGTGACCATTCCTCAAACGCCCTTCTATCTTTGTGACGATTCCGCAAATGCCCCTCTACAGTGTGACAATTCCTCTGATGTCTCCGTATTTTGTGACCATTACTCAACGGTGGTGGTATTTTGTGACATATTCCCCCCCCCCCATGTTACTGTAGATTTCAGTCTTATGGGTTTCTCATTTGTTGCCATGGTTACAATGAAACGACTACAGAAAACTTTCTTACCCACCCACCCCCACCCCCCTTTTCCCTCATTTCTTTTTGTTATTGTCGAGATGTCCTGTGACATGGTTTTTATTACATTACCATTTTGCTAGCTACCAATTTCCTGATTGTACACTTAATGAAATAATATTAGTTGCACCACTTATTAATGTGATACTATTACATTAGCTGTTGGCAGGCACGACGGGTAGAGTTGTGTTAGCACGTCGAATCACGTCCTGGATATACACACAATTTTGTCACAAACTTTAATCATAACCGAGGGCGTTAACCTGTGCTCTTTGATTATCTCCCATTTAGGTTCAAGTGATAGAGGAGGCCGTGAGGTACATTGAAGAGCTCCACGCAGCTTTGCTAGAGAGATTTAGACAGAAGCATGGTAAGTGCGTTGTTTGGCTGATTTCTTCTTTTTCAGGTTGTCCCGTAACATTGCTGAACTCATTGTTGAACTCACTGTTGTACTCATTGTTGTACTCATTTCCCGAGTGCGTGCTCTTTTAGATGTTAATTATTGCATTTTAAATAACTTCATGAACAATCAATCTATTCAACTTTAAAAAAAACTATACCAATAATATGATACCAATAATATGATACCAATAATATGATACCAATAATATGATACCAATAATATAATACCCATACTATGATTCCAATAATAGATATCCAATAATATGATATCCAATAATATGATATCCAATAATATGATGTCCAATAATATGATACCAATAATACGATAGCAATAATATGATGTCCAATAATATGATACCAATAATGCCAAAGAAATCCAAAGGCACTTCAATAACCAAAAGAGTCTTCTCATACAAAGGTGCCAATTTCTCGCTATTCACACCCCCTCCCCCCCCCCCGTGAGAAACACGCACCCCCGCCTCATGACAGAATCACTCACCCATGAAACGTTCCTGTCTCTCTTTTATTTAGTCAATATTTACCCCCCCCTAATGACAGAATCCCTCACCCATGAAACGTTCCTGTCTCTCTTTTATTTAGTAAATTTTTTGCCGCCCGACCGGGGAAAACAACCCACATGGAAGACAGCGTCGTCGTCGCCCCCCCCCCCCTCTTTAACCGACCTTCTCTAAATACAACAGAAGAGAATTTTCCCACAGGCATCACCCTCCCACCGCCCGCTTATTCCCACCGAGCCGTCTGCCTTTACATAATACACCGACTGCACCGTGTCGCAACCATCGATTGGTTTGAGAACTATCGCCCTCCCTAGTCAGGGAATGAGCACTCCCAGTGGCCTCGTTTCGACATGTTTGTTGTCGACGCCAATTCAACTTGAAAGAAATAGCCGCCATGATTCATTCAAACACGATTGCATTGATTGAACATGGAGAATTTCGGGACAAATTACTAGTACGGATATTACCGTGGCTTGATCTGCATAATCTCATAGCATCTGTTGATAATATAACGACTTATATAAGGATGATTTTTCCAAGCGGTTTTCTTGAACGAGTAAAGCACAATGGTTGTTTGTTTGCACCAACATTTTTGTTTCCTTAAACGGCCATGTTTTGTGTGTGTGACGTGACGGCCATGTTGTTTTTTGTGTGTGTGACGTGACGGCCACGCCCCTTTACTTTGTTCCCAGTAAGGACTCCATCCAATCAAATTAAACAAGAAGATTGACAGAAAGAAAAAAAAAAACGACAACAGGGCTTAGAAGGGTCGGGTGGGTCACACTAGTGAGGTGGGTCACACTAGTGAGGTGGGTCATCGTGGTCCTTCCATTTGATCCCATTCTAACATTTACACAACTCAAACATGATGTAAATCTGTTTGTTTAGGACGAGTTTCACCTATGCGTTCTTGATCACACTGACCAGCGTGAATTGGAATTCAAATGTTCATTCAGGAGCCATCGTAAAATTGTTTGTACATAACCACACAACAAAAAATGTTTGTACAGTAACAATGTTTGGGGAACCGACCCGTGCCCCCCCCCCCTTCCCCGGTCTCGATCAGATCAAACGCAGGGTATTGTTTTTGTGGTGTGGGTCGGTGGGATCATTACTCAAACACCTTTAAGGTCACGTGTCGAACCCACAGCTCCTAGGAGCCATCGTAAAATTGTTTGTACATAACCACACAACAAAAAATGTTTGTACAGTAACAATGTTTGGGGAACCGACCCGTGCCCCCCCCCCCCCTTCCCCGGTCTCGATCAGATCAAACGCAGGGTATTGTTTTTGTGGTGTGGGTCGGTGGGATCATTACTCAAACACCTTTAAGGTCACGTGTCGAACCCACAGCTCCTGTGTGCGCTGTGAAAATATTCCATTGATTGGTCTCCCCTCACCGTGACGCACTTTATAGGTCTCATACAACGGCCTGGGCGCACTTCAACGTGCATTTCGGGGGGCGCCTGCAGTGGGTTGGGCGCTCTTTCTTTATTGATAATCCTTAATGACAATTTTTTGTTCTTGGTCTTTTTAGAAATGAGGTCGTCCATCCGGGTGATTGCGCCCATGATGGTTGATCTGTACCAATTAACCCCCCCCCCCCCCCCCCCCCCCCCCCCACCCCCCCCCCCAAAGCTTAGAGGCGTTTCTGGTTATGACATGGTAAAAAAAAATCAGAGGCGTGTATGTCATGGCATGTGATTATGACGCTAGTGTTAAATTATGCAAACTAATAACTATTCATGGCAACAGTCCCCCCCCCCCGCCCCCTATCCGATTTCAAATATCCCCAAACCCCGTATAAAAGAACCCGCCTAGAAGAGGTCCCGGACTAACGCATTGTACACCTAGAACACTTCTATAATATTCGCTGTCCAAAAAAAAATTTTTTGGTGTTCTCCAATAGAGCGCGGGCCATGCACGCGCTTTCACGGCCCACAAAGGGAGACAACAGCTTGGAGCAAGTGAATCGTAACCAGAGGCGTATGATGCTCTCGTCATTAAGATTCTGTTTGGGTCGGTGATTGTTGAACCTGGGGGGATTGAAGAGCCGTGGGGCCAACCCGCTGTTGGTGCACAGGCTGTGACGCGCCAGGCTCCGTCTTTGGATGAGGCGTCTTAGCAGCGTGACGCAAGGTGTCTCGGCTGCTTAGAGTAGATAGTCATAAACGCACGACGCCGACTGTCGTCCGAGGGGGGGGGGGGCGGAACCTTTTGAATGGTTGGTGACCTGGCTGGTGAGGGGGGTGGTCCTTTTATGAATGGATACGTAGACCCTATTTTAAAAAAAAATTATTATGGTAGTATCATGTCACCCGACGACGCCGACTGTCGTCCGAGGGGGGGGGGGGCGGAACCTTTTGAATGGTTGGTGACCTGGCTGGTGAGGTGGTTGGTCATTTTATGAATGGATACGTAGACCCTATTTTAAAAAAAAATTATTATGGTAGTATCATGTCACCCGACTGTCAGTATTGTGTCACCCGACTGTCAGTATTGTGTCACCCGACTGTCAGTATTGTGTCACCCAACTGTCAGTATTGTGTCACCCGACTGTCAGTATTGTGTCACCCAACTGTCAGTATTGTGTCATCCGACTGTCAGTATTGTGGCACCCGACTGTCAGTATTGTGGCGTCCAACAGTTAACTGGTGTGACAGGTCTGACATGATGCCGTTGTGTGGACGATTAGCTTTAAGAAAAGTAAATGTTTACTACAATGTATGGCACTCAGCAATGATGTTGCATGCTGTGTTTGTGTTACAGAGAGAGAGGGGGAGAGGGAGAGAGTGAGGTAGAGAGGTAGAGAGAGAGAGAGAGAGGGGGAGAGAGAGAGAGAGATAAAAGGTGGTGGGTATCGAGAGGTAGAATTTGGGGAGAAAGAGATATAGAGAAAAGAAGAGGTTGCAGCCCTGGCGTGCACGTCGAGGATGCACCTAATCTTGTCCACTCTGCCGTCGCCAGGTGTCGCCAGGTGAGCCCTTGCGCCTACCTCCGTCAGGTGTCGAGCTCCCCCTGGCAGATCTCGCTCCTGGTTCTCACGGGTTCTCGTTTCAAGGGGACACCACTCTAGCACAGCGACTGCTTTTGGGTGAGGGATTGTGGTTTTTTTTTTTGTTTCTTTTTTTTTTGTTGTTGTTGCTGAGGCGCACTGTAGGGGGTGTGGGTTGAGGCTGGGGTGGGGTGGGGGTGGGGGGTTGGGGTACGCGGGTGTTATACCAGAGTGTAAATTATGTTTGCCAGTATTTTCATATTTCTAATTTTGCCTGAAAGAGTAATTACAAGGACCAGAATTGTAAATTGAAATTGATAAGATGTGCTCATCATGCTCTTCGTAGGACTAGTTGAAGTTATCTTACAAAGCCAGTGTTTCTTATTATCACTATGAGCACAACAAATGTATTCAAATATTCAATCCTATCACAGGATTTGTTTTTTTTTTAAAACACACAACTACAGTTTAGCCACTTGTAGAATGCAGGTATGAATCTACCTGTAACGTACATATTGAATCATCTCACCATACCATACATATAGAATATTTTTTTATTAAAAAAAAAGATATTTGTAGAGAGATATTTAATGAGATATTTTAGAGAGCTACTTTAGAGATATTTATATTGATATTTATAATATAAATAGATTCACTATTATAGATGGGGTTGTAGATATATTTATATAGAATAGACTTTTTAGAGATAGTAAGAGGGTTTTATAGCGATGTTTATAGATATGTTTCATCAAAGTTGTTCACGAAGAAAGAATGCAGGATATTCATGATGAAGATCGACACTTCATTGACATCAAAAATTTAGATTGGTTCTAATAGTTGATAGTTGATATAAATAAGCATTTCAAGGTGAGACATTATTTAGTTCTGACGCCATACATGGAATGGACTGGAATGGAATGTGTAGGGTGGNGGGGGGGGGGGGGGGGGGGGGGGGGGGGGGGGGTTAGCTCAGAGGTTTAACACGGGGTGTCAATATAAGGGGGGGTGGGGGGTAGTAGCGGGGATGGGGGTAGTGGAGGGTGTGTGTGTTGAAGGAGGTGTTGTTGTTACATTCGTGTTTCTTTGATGTACTACCGGTGCTCCAAATTAATCAAGACTGTAGTTTCTGAAAGTAGTTAAACCTTTCTACACTACAAACTCCTCCTCTACCACGGTACTACCACTACCACCATTACCAACACTTGGTTTCCATTTATTAGGAAATCAAAACTTACTTGTGGGAGTCAGGGAGAGCAGCCTCTGTGTGTGTGGCTTCCTCTGAAATCTGACTGAGCGTCCCATTCCCCCCCCCCCCAGCCCCCACACCTTTAACCTGATTTTGATGTTAGCCTCCTCACCCTCCCCCCTTTTTAAAATAAAATGTTTGCAACAGCTGGTGTTGCAAGGTTTGGTGGGCCCAAAGTTCTCAGGCCGGTATGCGCATCTCTAATGACGCTAGGTTTGTTCAATTGGATTTTTTTATATTTCGCATTGCTACGCTAAGTGTTTGAAGTATTTTGTTGGTTTTACTTACAAATAAATCGTCAAATTGGTGAAATGTATAAACCTACATTCCTTTCCTGGGTGCATTGACGTGGGAAAAAAAAAGGGGGGGGGGTGTCGTGTTTGCGATATTTTCTTTATAGTTAAGGGTGACATTTTCGGCCGACTCTTTGAGTTTTTTTCGTGGAAGGGGGCAACAAAAAAAGTCGTGTTTGCCGCCCTGGGTGACACTAGCTACGTCACTGCATGGCTGTCAGTGTTATTTTGAACACTCCAACTATCTACACTGTCAACGGCAGGTGCTAGTGGGAGAGCCCTGGGATAGATTACAGGACAAATATCTCACGAGAAACTTGGTGAGAAACAGCACGTAGCCAATTATTACCTAAGTACAAGACTAAGGTTGAGAGTCGCAGCAGTGGGTTATATGGGGTTACACAGCTCTTGAAGGAAACTTGACCCCCTACCGGCGAGTGGGTCCGTGTGGCCACTCCTGCCGTTTAGGTCTTTGTGGCCCCGCCCGGCGTTTGGGTCTGTATAGCCCCTCTTGGGGTGTGGGCCTGTGAGACGTCTCATGTTTTCCCCCAGACTAAAATCTGATATGCCACTATTTTTTTAATTTTTTTTTTTAAAATTTCATGATAAAAACATTAAACATTCTTTCAGATGTTTATATCCGTTTCGGACAATCTCTAGTTTAATTTTTTCCTTTATTCCAAAAAAATTAACCTTTTTTTTTTTTTGTGGGGGGTTTTAATTCCCCCCCCCCCCCATTTATTTTCACCAAACTGAATAAGACCCATAAAACCTGTCCAACGTCAAATGTCCACTACTAAAATGACTTGCTACCCATTCAACAAGTCAAATATCATCACAACATGCCGTCCGGTGCATACCTCTGATTTAGCCATCCCCCTACGTTTAAAGGGATAAATTATGGTCACCCCCCCCCACACACACACACCCACCCTGCCACGCCACAGTCGGGAGACAGGCAAATTACACCACGCGCTGGGCGTGTCACAGGAGACGATTTCACCTGTGGATCCAGGTGTCACAGACACGTGTAATAACCATCATCATCCCAGGTTATTGTTGTGAGGTGTCTCCATTAATACGTGGGTGGACCGCGGTCGGCACACAAGCAGTTCGTAGGGGGATGAAACCTCTTCCCAGAGGTGTGTCTTTAGAGGCGGATGTCAAGAAAGTAGAAGTGACGCCCTTGACCCTAGCTAACACCAGAGAGGCCCCCTCCCCCATGCGAGGGCCACCAAAATGTATCCCAGATTCTGTGGAGCGTGTCTGATTCTGCTAGGCATTAAATGCCAAGGTCTTCACAAAGCTTATCAAACACCTTAACCCCCCCCCCCCCACACACACACAAGCACAAGTTGGTTAATGTCTGCCTAACGTTATGCAACTAATATAACCAGCACCATTGCAAATTTAATCCTGCGTGAATAAGCTACCGACCGCACATCTAACCACTAAACACCTAACCACTACACACCCAACCACTACACACCTAACCTCTACACAGTTAACCTCTACACACATGACAACTGTTATGTACATGTTTATTGTTATTATTTTAATTAGGTTAATTGGCATGGTGCCCACTAAGAGTTGACTCACGATCAAAGTTGTCCGATCCATGGCCCGTGAAGCCATCTGGGTTTGACCTCCATTGTTTTAACATATTAAAAGAAATAACTTAAAACCCTAAACTAAAGTAAATCTACGGGAAAACCCCCACAATTTCCTTACAATCACGTCTTTCATAGCAATTATATAATGATTAAAGTAAAGTAAATCTACGGGAAAACCGCAAAATATGCATTACAATCACGTCTTTCGGGGCATATAATAATTACACTAAAATAAATCTCCTGGAAAACCCAAAGCAGCTCATTACAATCACGTCTTTCATAGCAATTATATAATAATTAAACGTAAGTAAATCTACGGGGAAACCCCAAAGTTTCATTACAATCACCTCTTTCAAAGAAATTATATAATTAATAATCAATCCACTTGTTCATGAACAACATGAAACAAACATTCACACCTGACAGTTTGATCTGATCCTATCCACAGGTAGCATGGCAGAAGATAAAGCCCAGGAGACGGTAAAGACATTCGTCAGCCGTATGATGAACCAACAGTCCAGTCCATCAAACCCAGGCAACCAGAACATTCCTATCATCAGGCATTCCGCAAGCAGCTTTGAGAAGCAAAGATCTCAGCCAAGCTTTTTGTACAGGAAGAGGAGAAATCATTGAGTAAGTAAATAACTGGGGGTATTTTAGCATCGGGGAAACCATTGGTGAAGCAATAACTGGGGTGTTTTAGAATTGGAGAAACCATTAGTGAAGCAATAACTGGTATTTTAAAATTGGAGAAACCATTGGTGAAGCAATAATTGGTATTTTAGAATTGGAGAAACCATCGGTGAAGCAATCAATGTGGTATTTTAGAATTGGATAAACCATTGGTGAAGCAATTAATTGGGTATATTAGAATTGTAGAAACCATTGGTGAAGCAATTAATTGGGTATATTAGAATTGTAGAAACCATTGGTGAAGCAATTAATTGGGTATATTAGAATTGTAGAAACCATTGGTGAAGCAATTAATTGGGTATATTAGAATTGAAGAAACCATAGGGGGAAGCAATTATTCGAGGATAAGTGTAGGCAATTGATTGTTTCTTTAAGCATGGATTAAATAATTATTTACAGCATTTTTTTAAGGGAATTGGAAACGATGAGTGCTGGTAAGAGGCAATTGTTTCTCGCTGTACTGTAATGTAAAAAAAGGTTATAGAAGCATTGATCGCAGTGTTTAAAAAAAAACTGCCATTATGTCACTCAAATAACAGGAGTATTTTTTTCTTCAGATGTTGACCCCTGGTCATCTAGTCGCCACCAGCCCCCAACTGTGATATCTTGCTTCAGGTGCTTCTTGTTTATTCCTGCGGAACATTCCCTGTCTCACCCTGCCCAGTCAGCAAATGGCTCCCAGTCGAATGCAGATTCAGACAGAGGCATATCGACCAGTCAATGCACAGTCAGACAGAGAGCTATTAGACTTCAGTATGTCAGGTGATGTGGCTCCTCCAGGTCATTGATTATACAAACTCAGTGCTTTGTTTCATAATCTCAAACTTGACACTAGAAGTTGACACCATCACCAAGACAGCAACAATCCGATGATTAAGTCATCTTCGTACTTACAGATGTCATGGATGAATAAAATCAGGATTCAGTCACCAGTAAATTGAGCTCCGCCAATCGAGGTCAAGCAAGGGTGTTAACTAAATTTGCCTTGATTACCTCCCTTACATATTTTCATTTAAAAATGCAACAAAGCACCATAGAATAAGCCCACTGTAATTTAAGCCCACCTTTAAATCAATCCTACAATGAAACACATCACATTTGACGTCATGCATTGTTACACAGCTTTCAAAAATTTTTAAATAATTTTACTAGACTTACCAATTGAATGAAATTAACTTCTGAATTGAACACTTCCTTTTTGGAATTGTTTCAGGTTATTCACAGGCTTCAATTTTGTAAATGAAAAAGAAAATTTACCCATTATTTTTAAGGTAGAAATATTGTAACTAGGTATTAGAACACAGATTTATTTAGATAAGAAAATAACATTGTAAACTACCAATTTGTTCTGACTGAATCAAAATTCAAAATTTATTACATAGTTAAAATATTGGTTTACAATAAAAAAAAAACAATGTCAATCAAAATTGTTTTCAAGAAAACTTTTAGAGTTGTCCATCCTTTGATATCTGTTAAATAAAAGCATTCCTAATGTAATCACTTTGCCCGTCAACATCAAGTGTGTCTATAACCATGGCTGCCTTAAAATTATGTTTGATGATAAACCACTTCTGCTGTTATCAACGCAATGTACCAAACCAAAAATATCTGTACATATTAACACACAAGTATAAATATTTGCACATATTTACATACAAGTATAAAAATTTGAAGTAACAAGAAGGACATTTTTAAAAATGGTTTAGCCACTATGTGTGTGTCAACATTTGTTAAGTGGACCATCACATTCACGATGAAGGATCCCTGGCTTTACTCACTATTTGTGAGATATCTAGATATCTTACTTATTATATCATTGACATTCTTTATGTTGAGTTCAATCTTTGGATTATTAAATTAAATTTCTAGTTTTCACATCTATACCAGGGAACTATTAGGGAAATATTTAGTTCTTATATCACAAGAGATGTTTACATCTAAATACATGCTTCTCAAACTTTTCTAGTCAAGGTCCCCTAAAAATTTTGTTTTCCTAAAGAGTCCCATTCCCTGAAATTAATAATATAAAAAGTACTATTTTAATTTCAATAAAATTCTTTGTTCAAATTTTTCATTTCCCTCCATAAACATAATAGGGCTCCTTGGGGGGTCAGGGACTTTTAAAAAGAGCAATACAAATAAATTCTTATGAGATTTCTACGATCTAATTATTTTTTTAAATTGTTATAATAACATAACCAGATTTTAAAAAAAAAAAAATTATGAAAAGGTTTTGGTTGACTGGGAATTTTTTTTAGCACACACTGATTCATTAATAGATGCTGATGTTGATGAAAGTTGATGTTGAGGAAAGTAGATGTAAATGGAAGCTGTTGTTGATAAAAGTTGAAGTGGATGGAAGTTGATGTTATTTTTACATGAGCATGTACTGCGGCTAAGAACTTAAACTTTGTACAAAAATCCATCAGAGTGACTTATGGACTGTTTTGATATGAATTTAAACTCCTTATGTATGCAGGGTTGGAAGGCAGCGATGATAGTGTCGTTGCTTTTGGCATTTGCAAGCTAATTTTGTTGAAAAATCCATCTCACAATTATTTATTTATTTAGGAATATAATTCTAAGGGATTTTTAAAAAAAACAAACTCGCTTAAACCATTGATAACAATACCAGAACTGAAATTTTAATCATTATTTTTTTTATAATTTTGCAATGTTCAAAAATGGCTTAATGAGTAGGATTGGAAAAAATTTCAGCAACCAATAACAATTTTTATTTTTACAATCCATATTTGAAAAGGAAAGGTTTAGTCTATATTTTAAATAGATTGTAATTGTAGTTGTCACACAAATTTGTTGGAGAAAATTCTTATCACTCCAAACATTAAAAAAGAATAATGTAAGAATTTTAAAAAAAATTAATGAGGGTTTTTAAAGAGGGGTGGACCAAACAGTCTTTGAGTATGTTTGTCATGGCTATTACGATTGTCAGCTGTAAAAATACTAGGAATGAAAAAAAAACCTGACAGGTTGACTCAATAAAATAGGTTTTCTCTCCCCTTGTTTTTAAAGCATAAACTTTCCATGTATTTTTTTTAAAAATATAACATGTGACAAGATAAGATAAAATAACTCTTTTTTTTTTTAGTTGTTGAAAATATAAGAAAAATTGTTTTGGTTACATGGTAGAAAATATTTTCCGCAACATAAAAAACTTGATGTTATTTGTTTTTAGCTAGGTAATATTGAACATTTTTTTCTTTACCAAGTTTCAAATAAATTTGTGACTCTTCAAATATATAAGCCCATACGACCATTCCATAAATGTTTATGCTGGTTTTTGTATAATGTTGTCAACTGTATGGACAATGTAAAAAATGACCTTCTAATTATAACAAGACAAGCACATTCCCCTTTGTTGATTTTAAAATATGCATTCTGGAATGAATTAAAAACTATCTTCATATTTGTAATTTTTTGTTTAAATACTTTTTTTAAAAGATAAAATTTAAAAAAAGTATGATTAAGAGAACAGTTAAAGGAAACAATATTACATTTTCTAATACATAATAGAAAATAACTGGAAGTAAGATGGCAGCTATAGGAATCATAAAGTTTAAAGTAACACAGATACTTATTGCCTGACCTTTTATTCTAATCATCTTATGTATTTAAGTGAATTTCTTTTAATAAGTAACTTTGTTACAATTAGGTACGTTTATAATTACTGTAAGTTACTTTTTTTTTTACTACTCAATAACTTTGTTACAATTAGGTATTGTTGTAATTACTGTAAGTTACTTTAATAATTCTGGGTAACTTTGTAATGGAAGCCCCCAGAATTGCCATAACATATTTGTATGATACATTTTTTACTTTTTCTATTTTTTGCCATTTATGTATGAACAAATTAAAATATGCATTATAAAAACATACTGACTTGTTAATCTTTGCTTTATAAAAACATACTGACTTGTTAATCTTTATTTAATAAAAACATACTGACTTGGTAAATTTTGCTTTATAAAAACACACTGACATGGTAATCTTTGTTAACTTAATTACGTATTACTCTGAGGTGCTCCTCACACGCAATTCTAACCCACTTTAAACTTTGTACCCCTTAAAAGTTTATATTTACCAAATATTTGTTGTGATTGGTGTTTAAATAGAATAAATAAAAAAAAAAAAAACCAGTCAAGTGTTTACAAAGCCAACTAATCCAGTGCATTTAGTTGAACCAATCAAAAAAAATTCGTCAGTTAAAACAGAAAAAACAACAACAACAAACAAACACAGTTTTATTGAGATAAATACGTTGAAATATTTTTAGAAATTATAAATTTTATACTCCTATTTAAAAAAAAAAAAGACACAACAAAACAGTTATTTTAAAGTTCCGATTCCCGGACCGGGACTCAAATTTACTATTGTGACGTAATACTTCAGTTCGTAATTTATTACTGTACGTCCGTCACATGCAAAGATGATCAAGGCAATAGTCGAGTAGTAGCCTCGGCTTGAGCTGTACTTTGTTTAAAAGTAAGGGAGAGTTGCACTATCCGTCAGTCTCACTCTCCAGGTCTTGCCTACTTGATCGAATGTACCAAGACGTGGTCCAGACTGGAACTTAGACCATGGTGCAGTAGATGAGCAGCAGTGTGTGTGTGTGTGCGTGTTTCACTGTGCTCTTTATGCGTTCTACGTCTCAGGAGTTGTAAGAATTTTCATTGTGTCAATGTCATACCGCCTATGGGACTCCATCTTCGGGTGGTTTGATTTTTATAGTTTTTTTCAATAAATATTGATGTAGACAACATACACGTATCATAATACTTAATATTGATGTAGGAGACATAAAATTATTATTTTTTTTTAAATAACGCAACTGCGTTTGGTGTGTAGTATATTTACTTGTCGGAAAATAAAATCGCGACCAGTTTACAAGTTTTTGGGATATCAGAATATCAATATAGTTCATGGGCGTGGCATAAAAAGTGTGCAGTGACGTATCATGGGGGGAAGGGGTGTAGCAAAAATTGGGATTTTTAATTGTGCGTCACTTGAGTTCATGTTTTGTCAAGTAACTTTACTAGATGGGAAGTTCGCGCATTGCTGTCGCCAGTATATTTATAAAAGCGCACCGTTCTGGAAACAGTTTTAAGAAAATAATACGTATAAACAAAATACCATATCTTGAACGTCCCAGACTTGTTCTAAAGAGCAGCATCTTAAGCCCTTAGAAAATCATATTATTTTAGCGTTTTTTTTTTGTGTTGTTATTTTTTTACAGTTTACTATTTTTAAATAAAAGCTTTTGGGTTAAAAGGATTGTAACCAAGCTCTCCAAGAATGACGTCAGGAGGTATGACCATGCCAAATTTGGTTGCGATCCACTGTTTGATTTTCTTGTTTTAAAGTAACTGACGCACGCACACACACACATACACATACGCGTAGGCATGCACACGCACACTTTAATGTGCTATGATGTTCTTCCCTGATGAAAGGTAGATAACAATGAGCTTTATAAATATGATGCAAACATTCTAAATAATGAATCACATCAAGTTATCACATTACACACGTTAAATGAAATATAGAATTATCTTCATGTTGAAGATTAAGTACGTCGTTTGCAATCAATAATAGACAAGCAAAAAAAAAATAAAATAATAAGTCACCAGCACCCTTGGTGGATGGGACTCGCCACATTGGATGGGGACTCATCTGAGAGAATTTAAACGCTTTTTAAACTCGGAGATGGAGTCCCGTTGACGGTGTTACACTGACACAATAAAATTTCGGGAAACTCCGAACAACTCTACTGGTGCCAAGTAGCATCCACACATGATGTGCACTTGGGTTATCCAGATGCATGGAGAGAGGTGATATGATTTTTATGTCTAGGCAACCAGCTTATCCTCTTAGAAGAAAAATCACAGGCCTTATGATTTCGTAAGACAAATGGCTCTTGTTTTGTTGAACACAAGCTGTTTAACAGATGGTATGCCCACCATTCCCTATTCCGTTCTCATCCAAACCTTTTACCACACATATTTAATTTACACAATTAGTAAAGTTCAGAATCCACCTAACTTTAATAGCTCAGCAATATTTTGTTGTTGTTGTAGAAAGCTACCATGTGGGTGTAACAAAGATGGGTGGGGGGGTGTGTGATTTTTATAATGTAATAGAACTAAGGACTAATGCAGAATCGTCAGATGAAAACAACGTGTGACCAAAATGGTGGTTTGAGTTATGTTAACCACCAAAGACTGAAAACACCAACCAGTAGCCGCACGGTCACAGGGCTGCACACATAGGAACAGTTTTTCACCGACATATTCTCAACACACCACGCAACAATCACCTTGTCTATTTTTGCAGCTTTAGAAACATATTCATTGTTAAATATCAGGTCATACCAAAATGGTCCTGTCGGAAATCGGACACGCTGGTCATCTATGGCATAAAGGCGTTTCTTTATAGAAACGACTGGCCATTCATTGACCACGATCTTCTGCCCCTCCGGACATCCTCCGTCGTGTGACGTCATGTCCGCCTCTTGTAAAGCGTCGTCTGGAAAATCACCTTCTGCGTGCTGCTCTTTGTTCGATAAGATGACGTACTGGAAAATGTTATTATAAAAAACAGTCGAACGTTTCTCAGGAAATAGTTTTGAGAAAACCTCTAACCACTCATACAATACAGCTTCATCTTCCACCTGTTGAAATGTAATCGTTATGCAGGTATCAACATCAAAATCTGGCCTCTCCATGGCTTCTCTCTTCATTAAATGACACGAATTGAGGCGAGTAATATTTCCACTCGTAAAGTTTTTAGTTGTTTTTAAATCCTCACAGACGTAAGAAATTTCATGACCAGATTCAATGAATTCAAAGAGAGGCCAAGTATGGTTCAAATATCTGTGGACGCCAAAACTTTCCGAGCAAACGTTGTGTCCTAGGTGAACTATCACAGATAATTTTAGAACGTTTGAATTGAAGAAGTGCCACGTTATCGTATCCTTGATACTGTGGGCCATGTGTTGGATTCTCTTGAAGTGACTAGACTTAAACGGTTGCTGTCTCCAAACCGTCAACAGGTTTACTTTGCATCGGGAAGAATTGATGTTATCGTAGACAGATTCATCGCTGCGAATCGCCGAACTCTCCGACACAGGAAGCGAAAACATTTCTGGTACTGACTCCACATTCAGGAGATTCACGAAGACAAAGCTTAATTTAATTTGATGCTCATCCCGGGTCACAGGTAGATAACTGAGCTTATATTCAAACTGTTGGTTGCATTTCTTATTTAGACGAGGACATAACATGGAGTTGCCGGTAAAGTTACACATCTCAGGAATCGGTTCCGTACATTTCCCGTTAATAAACCGCATGCCTTCTGGACAGTTCGGTACAACACATGTATTGTAATACGCAACAAACACCTGATGCTCTGGACATGAGCCGACATTATGAGTACCTTCCTTCGAATGGTGATAAAAGTCCAAAAGGATTAGTTTCGACCTGTTCCTAATCAAAGGTACGTTATGAATGTTATGAAAGGACCAAGGGCATTTAGATTTCGAACACCCCAAGACATATTTAAACATCTGTCTAGCATCTCCGAATTTCGGAGAATTCGCCAATTTGCCAGAGTTAAAAATAATTAGGCAGTGCGGGTTTTTGTACAAATTCCTAGTATTACTCTCACCAACAACAAATGTGTATTTTTGACACATCTGGTACCAAATATGATCAAGCTGTTTGTTTACACCGTGTGGGCGGTGGTTGGTTGTTGCATTCCTGTTGGTGGCGTGGTCCGCCGGGCGAAAATCGTTTGTAGCGAAGCAGAAACGATTCACCTGACCAGGTACGATGGTCAAGTTACATGAATTCATTACCACATATTCCTTAAAGGATTTTTCTGAACGAAAAGTCCGTTCACCCAAGGATCCTGTATGTGCGCTGCCATTGACAATACTGTTATCACATACTAATGCTGCCTGCCATAGATCTACATTTCGTATGTCGAACCCATTACACACAGCGCAGAATATGTTATAGAAATTATGTCTTGAAAATGAAATGTGTTGGAGATGATCAAAGGGAACTCTAAGTGGCTTCTCACAGCGATGAACAATTTCTTCTTTTGTTAAACTTACAAACACACTGGCGGCGAAAAGGCGGTCTTCTTTTATTTGTCTGTACACAAAATCAAATTTTGACCGAATGAACGGCTCACGACTGCACTTTGTGACCCTTCGCTCGCGCATCTGGTAGTCGACGTACACATCTTCACACGTCGACACCTGACTCATATGTATGTCATAGTTAACGCTCACCAAGCTATCGACATAGTCCATGTTTAGAACGGTGGCTTCTAGAAACGTGGACATATTCTGACTGATTGGAACTCTGGCTGAGTAAAAGTCGGGGCAGCAATCTCCGTACATCCAGCAGACGATGTCATATTTACAGTAAAAATCCCAATCCCGAGTCACGATTATTGCGTTGTTTTTATCCGAACTAAGGATGACGTCATCGTTTCTTGTCATCACTCTTACAACTTCATCAATAAAACGTGAGTCGCTGTTCTCGCTCTCGATTGTCGTTCCTCGCGTTGCGTCATCCTTAAACTCTCCCCCTTTTCGTGTTTCGGTTTGCTCCGCTTCATTCAAGCTGACATTTGCCTCAACAGGAGTTGCGGACAGTCTCGCGTCCCTTTGCATGATGTTACTCTCATCCGGTAAAAAGTTAATGGTGTCAGGAGCTTTGTTGGAAACGGTTTCCCAATCTAATCTGTCCATAATGTCTACATCCTCTCGGACATGTCGTTACAACATTTGTTGTATGTGTGACGATGTGTTCTGTAAGCGTGTCCCATTGTTGAAGGTCTGCTTACTGCGATCCATCGACACATTGAA